ACCCCCCCATTTCCCTCTACAACCTTCACGATCGATTTGGGACCAGTCCGCGGACTACTGGTCGACCCTGATTGAGTGGTTGGGCACTCTTGATTTAGTTATATAAATGTATATTGTCTGTGAATGCACAGAAAAACAGTTGGCATGTTGTTCTACGCATGTGAAAACTGGAATACTCTGTTTAACCACCTTTAGCAGGAGGTGAATAATGATGTCAACATATTTCCTTATTTAAATTTTACTGAGGCGGCCCGGTGATCCAGTGGTTAGCGTGTCAACCTCACATTGCAGAGGTCGTGGGTTCGATCCTGGCTCCAGTCTCCCCGTGTGGAGTTTGCATGTTCTCCCCAGGCCTGCGTGGGTTTTCTCCGGGTACTCCGGTTTCCTCCCACATTCCAAAAACATGCATGGCAGGCTGATTGAACACTCAAAATTGTCCCTAGGTGTGAGTGTGAGCGCGGATGGTTGTTCGTCTCTGTGTGTCCTGCGATTGGCTGGCAGCCGGTTCAGGATGTCCCCTGCCTACTGCCCGAAGACAGCTGGGATAGGCTCCAGCACCCCCCGCGAACTTGTGAGGATAAAGCAGATTGGAAAATGAATAGATGGATAAATTTTACTGAAAAATTTCAATGGTTCCAGCCACTCCACTGAATGCAACACTTACATTTCATTTTCCTCTTCACTCGGGCGCGCGTATGTCAACCCACATAGAAAATGTAATGAGAAATTGCTGTAAGAGATGGATCAAGTATGCAGTAATTTGTCGTGAGCCTGTTATGTTGGTGTGCATGCTTCTACTGTATATTTGTTCTCCAATAAAATGCGAGGGCTGCATATTTTGAGCACCTGATGTGTCATGTATTTTTAGCATTGCAAATTACATCGCGGTATGCGCGTGAGGAAAAAAAAATCTAACAAGATTACAAGCTTTGTCACACATACATTAATTGAATATTTAAATGGGACAATATTATGAAACGTATCAAGATATACATGAAAGGATATTTGAAGTATTGACAGTAACAAGACGTTTTATGTCTTTATCGCGTGTATAGGGGTTAGTCAGACATATCAGAAATGGTTCTTTTTTTCATCAATTAAATGTTTTAATCATGGTATTGTGTATGTGACCATAACGTTACAAATAATTTAATACTGTTGGATTAGGCACCAAGTCCCAAATTGTTTAAGTCTGAAAATCAGATCGGATCAGGAAACAGATTGGCATTTTCTTTCCTGCTTTCCAGAATGTGAAATAGTACCGTAGTCTTTGTAAAATAGGAATGAACTGTCAGTCAACAAACATTTATATGTTGAATACAGCCCAAGTGACTTAATTTCCTATTGTTTGTATTTCAGAGAAGAAAAGCCTATCCAAGCGAGAACAGTCAACTTGGTTGGACAGAAAAAACCTCCGCAGCAAAATGATGTCCGGTGAGTGGCTTACCCAGTTGATGAAATTGAAATTTAAAAAGTGAGTTTAGATGGGGTCCTCCATTAGTCATAATAACTGTCTGTTCTTTTGCTTCACGCTCATTGTATTGTTGTGAGATCGATCTTGCACCTTGGATAAGTCACTCGGATACCAACTGCAGCTGTAAGAAATGTATTTCATGGAATACATGTGTCAGACTTGAGAGTCACTCTGGTTTTTTGAAAAATGTGCGGGAATCTTGCATGCCACCTTTGACGTATTCCTGGCAACAAGGCCTGTGCATCAGGCTGGGATAGGATATTGCAGTTAAGACGGGACAGCAATCACACAAAATTACAGTGTTATTTCTTTTCATTTTAAATGTCTTAATGATGAACAACTCAACATTAATATATTGCAACAATATATAGCTACTCTGACAAAATAAGACAAGAATATACATTTTCAAAGTTATTTTTAGAGATCCGTCCCACAAGTGGGGGGCCACAAGCATCTTGGTGGGTGGGCACGGCCCCCTTATGGCCCACCCGTAGGGACGGGTCTGTTCTGCTCCAGAGCAATCGACATAATCATGTAAGTTCAACATAGCCGGCAAACTGAAGACACGATTGATTTTGGATGACAATGCACACATTGAAACAAATCAATATTCATGGTATTGTTTGTTGTTTTGGCGAAAAAATAAGGGGTGTTCACACGGCAACTTTTACTCTGGTGTCACACTGGGGCTGCGTTCACACGTACAAAATTATACCAGTGTAGCCCCTGAAAATGCTTAAACCGGAGCAAATTTAACCCTGCTCAGGACGTGGTTTAAAAATTTACTCCGGAGTAAATGCTAGTTTGCGGGGCAGCACCCATATAAAATGAGACGTGTGAACGCTACAGGGGCAGACTCGCTACGCGTGAGAAGAGTTGATTACATACGGGTATTGCACCCATGAACGACACAATGTCGTCAACTTGTTGCCGAATGAATCATAGAATGCGTTGCTTTCATGTTCTGTTGTACTTCCTCCATCTTTCCTTTCTCTCTCTCATCCTTTTACGGTGTCTGATAGACCACAGCGTTGATTTGTCTGGAGAAGTATAAACCATGGTTTTTCGATATGTCACAAACAAGGCGGGGAAACGGAAGTACACTTTACGAATGCGCATGTTTTCATTCATTCATTCATTCATTTTCCGAACCGCTTGATCCTCACTAGGGTCGCGGGGGGTGCTGGAGCCTATCCCAGCCGTCTCCGGGCAGTAGGCGGGCGACACCCTGAATTGGTTGCCAGCCAATCGCAGTGCGCATGTTTTATTCCGTATTATTACTATCGTATTGCACAGCCGCAGAAACTGTCATGGGAACGCAAGTGGGGCTGCACCGGGGTTAGCACGCTTCTCTTTAGTAAGCAGCTTTATACGTGTGAACGCGCCACAAAATTTACACCGGTGTAAGATATATCGCAACAAAATACATCGGTGCAGCACCGATGCAAATGTGTGCCGTGTGAACACCCCTATAGACATTTTTAAGACACAGCACAGCTGTTTCCTTGAAACTGTGAATATATGACTCTCATATTGCACAAAACCACAAAAGTGTGAATCATATCATTTGCAAGCGGACATGATGACATGGTGATATGTGCAAATAGCCTTTTAAGGATTGTAATGTTCAGCCTTGTGGTTGGTCGTGGCGGGGTCTGTGGAGTGACCTGTAGATTTCAAATACAGTATAGCACATACAAGCCACTTGGTTGGTTTACAACTTAATTCATATTTCGGATATTTCGTTCCAAACACATTGGTGTCGTAGCTTTTTTTTCCTTCTGTGTGTGTGTGTGTGTGTGTGTGTGTGTGTGTGTGTGTGTGTGTGTGTGTGTGTGTGTGCGTGCGTGCGTGCGTGCGTGCGTGCGTGTGTGTGTGTGCGCACGCTGGTATGAGTTTTTTTTTAATCATTAATCCAGATGTGAATTGCCACTGTTAGTTGAAACAGACTGTCATCTTACTTTGAAGTAATGTGAGTGTCTCCATCGCTTTTGGCCGATTTGTGCTCTGAAATTCAGGTTGCCCGTAATTTCTCCATGACTCCTACAGTCTTTCCTTTTGCCATACAATGATCAAAGGATAACACTTGTCTATGTTTCATCCCTGTGCTCTATATGTGTGTTGTTGTAGGTTGGTATATGTGTGCATTGAAACCGGGGCATGACTGTGGATGGTATGATAAACAATGACTTCTCGGCCATGTTGCTTGCTTGCTATCATGTAAAAGTAATGATTCTGGTTGACATTGACAGCAAGAATTAGATGTTTACTGAAGACAGATTCTATTTGAGTTTGCATTCAGCATCAGTTGTAAATTTATTCTATAAGGCTGTATTTCACTGAGAAGAGGTTTGTAAGCACACAGCAAATGCTGTTTTTTCATCAGGGTTCATTCAAGGTTCCAAAGAAGTTTGCCAACATTCGTTTTTCTTGTCGCCATCATAAAAATGTTGCGACAAGAACAACAGTTTGCAACCATTAAAACTGTTTGCCAATGTCTGGCAATGTCTTTGCAACCTTTTGCAAGTTGCAACCTTAAATAAACCAACATTCACGTCGTGCGGAAACACTCGCGAGTCTTCACAGGTCATTGAGAAACCACCTTTAAGAATGCAGTTACCCCAAACGAATTCTGACACAGTATCGAGGCAGCTAAGTACATTGCATCCATGCGAAAATGGCCGAACAGTCATACAGATCAAAATCTTCCCCAAGATGTGGGGATTGTCCAGAGATTGACAAAGGATCGTCTTGACCACCCCTGGTTGTGGCTTGGAAGAGATTGCTGGGGTTCGCAGTAGTTTTCTTCAGCATGGTACCCTCTGACAGTAGTGCACACAACTTTGCTGACCCGATTTACAAGTTTTAGCAAACTATTTAAGCTTAGTTTGCTAGAATTGATCTCATCAAGTTTTCTATACCACTTATGCTCAGAGTTGCAAGAGGCAAGGCATGTCCTAGACAAGTTGCAGGGCACATATAGAGAACAGCCATTCACACTCACATGAACACCTATGGACACTCAACCTATCTTACAATTTTTTTACAATGTGAAAAAAATAAGAGTACCTGGGGAGAACATGCAAACTCCGCACGGGAAGGCTAAAACCCCGATTCAAAACCATGGTCTCTGAGCTCTGTGGCGAATGTGCTTACCTTTTCCTCCATGCAGCCTGTAGAATTTCTGTTTGTAATTTTAATCACATTTAACACGCATTGACTCGACAGTATATACTGTATATGTGATTCATTGCTAGTTTGCCTCCCTCAGGTAAGAGGTCCGCAAGGTCCACACTGAAGTCATGTTTTTTTTTTTTTTTTTTTTTTTTTTAAAGCTCTCATACTGAGATTTGAATTATATGTGAATGGGAATGTCAGACAGATAAGGAACAAATAAATACTGTGTGGTCATACATAATTTAGCCTGGACCAATATGACCAGGACTCTGCACCATTGTATTGTGTGATGACAAACACTGACTTGCCTGTGTTTGCCTTAACCTCAACTTTGTGGAGCACAGGTGAAAAGTGTCTTGTTAAAGTAATCCGTTACAAAAGTTAAAGTTGTAGTGACTTCTCACAAATAAAATCAACTTTTCAGCTGTCACACTAACATTGTCTGCAAATATCATATTTCAATTAGCACAGGACAATATATTCATTCATTCATTCATTCATCTTCCGAACCGCTTGATCCTCACTAGGGTCGCGGGGGGAGCTGGAGCCCATCCCAGCTGTCTTCGGGCAGTAGGCAGGGGACACCCTGAATCGGTTGCCAGCCAATCGCAGGGCACACACAGACGAACAACCATCCACGCTCACATTCACACATAGGGACAATACAGAGTGTTCAATCAGCCTACCATGCATGTTTTTGGAATGTGGGAGGAAACCGGAGTACCTGGAGAAAACCCACGCAGGCCTGGGGAGAACATGCAAACACCACACAGGGAGGCCGGAGCTGGAATTGAACCCGGTACCTCTGCACTGTGAAGTCGACGTGCTAACCCTGGACTACCGGGCCGCCCAGGACAATATATGTAATATGAATTCTAAGAAAAATAATTGTAATCTCTTTTGCATTAGTATACCTACAATACATACATAATTTTCTGTTAGAGAAAGAAAAAAAACGACAATGGTCGCTTAAGTTATTTTGAACTGTCGTGACTGGAATTTTCCAAAATGCATAGTGACAAACCAACTACAAATATTTTATGAGAATGTCCTTTGGACACATGACAAAAAAGATCTATTTACAAATGCAAAAGTCATGCTGGCAAAGAAAATGGCACTGTGCATACAGTACATATTGTGAAACACTGAGGAAACCTAGCCATGTCTTCACTGTGTTGCTGTGTCCAACACATGGTGGATTGAAAGTGTGCAGAGTACAATGAAACCCCAAATCTGTCAAGACATTTGGGATGGTCTGACCAGTGTCAGAGAGCTTGGTCTCAATCGCAGGTTATGGCTCCTCCAAGAGCATAATGACTCAAACCACAACGCTAAAAATACCCAAGAGTGGCTAAGAACTCAATGTTGCACTATTCTGAAGTGGCCTTTTATGAACCCGAAGCTACTATAAATATATTTGAAAGGAGTTGAAAAATGAAGTCTGCAAAAGGTACCAGTCAGACTTCAGATAGCTGACTCAATTTGCACATCAGATGTGGATCAAGACATCGACATGTGGGCAAAACTCATTGAGACTTATGAAAATCTTTTAACTGCAGTAAGATTGTCCATTATAGTATTAAGGGAAAGGTACCATGATTTTGTCCAGGCCATTTTTACAAAGTATTACTTTGTTTTTAAAATATGATGATGACTAACGTATAAGTAAGCAATTACCGCTTTTTAGCAACCCTACAAACCATTTCGTGTGTGCCTAACACAGTAACACAATTTAAAAGAATTGTTATAAAAGGTCAATCATCACACATGACCTTTTTTGGGA